TACCCAGCCTTCCAAAGCTCAATTTCCCAGCTGTCAGGCAAAATGTTAGGACCAGGAAGTCCATGACAAGCCACGTCTGTGCACAAGTGTGGTAGTGCTAGTTCTTTTACCCAGAAGGCTCCTGGTGTGGTGTGTGTGTGTGTGTGTGTGTGTGTAGGCCTGGTGTGTGTGTATAGGCCTGGTGTGGTGTGTGTGTGTGTGTGTGTGTGTGTGTGTGTGTGTGTAGGCAAGAGGACAACCTCAGGTGTCATTCCTTCTCAAAGTGCTGTGTTTTGGACACAGTGTCCCAGTGGTTTGGGGTTTGCTAAGCAGGCTAGGCTGGCTGGTCAGAGACCCCCCAGGATCCACCGGTTTGTGCCTCTTTGGTGCTGGGGTTACAAGTATATGCCACTGGGCCTGTTACTTATTTATTTTTTAAACCTGAGTTCCGGGGATCAAACCCAGGTCCTTACACTTGTGCAGCAAGAACTTCTCTTGACAGAATTCTCTCCCCAGACTCCCCTGTTATTTCCTGTGGAGATTTACAGAAGTATACCATCAGAGAAGCCTCTTTCCCTCTAACAACTTCTAACTGCGAGCTGCCTTGTCCTCTGCCTCCTGGAGGGTATGAGTCAACAAGGCACCACAATGCGAGGCAGAATTATGATGGTTTTCCTGACCAGCTTGGCTCCTCCATCACATTGGTCAGGAAGACTTCTCTTCTACTTTACTCACTGTGAACTGGTTCCTACAAAGGACAACCAAAGTGCTCTTCAAGGGACTATGGTTATCAGCTCTGTCCATAAAGGCTGATCAATCACACCATCTCAGTTCAGCTGTTAACTGTTGTAGAGCATTAATTTAAGATGGGCTACATTTGTTTATGCTGTGGAACAAAGATGTGCTGCATTCTTTTATGTTGCATTTGTTTAACTCTGTGTTACTGTGCCTGTCTAAAACACCTGCCTGGTTTAATAAAGAGGCAAACGGCCATTAGTGAGGCAGGAGAAAGGATAGGTGGGGATGACAGGCAGAGAGACTAAATATAAGGAGAAATATGGGAAGAAGAGATCAAGGAACTAGAGAAGGAGTGAGAAAAGAAGGGGCCAGCCACCCACAAAATAAGGAAAGAAAAGATATACAGAAATAAAGAAAGGTAAAAGCCCAGGGGCAAAAGGTAGGTGGGATAATTTAAGTTAAGGAAAGCTGGCTAGAAACAAGCCAAGCTAAGGCCAGGCATTTATAAGTAATAATAAGCCTCCATGTATGTGATTTATTTGGGAGCTGGGTGGAAGGCTCTCAAAGGGAAAAGAGCCAAAAAGGTAGAGTGTAAAAAAAAGAAAAAAAAAATAGATAATCATCACCTTGTCCAGATCAAGCAGAGGTGAAAGCCTCACACACACAGCACCTTCTAAAGGCAGAGACAGAAGAACTCTTATCTATGGTCCCCAAGCCCAAGGTCCCAGTCATATAAGGCCATAGCTTTTACTCTTGGTCCCATCACCTGAGAAACTGTGTGTGTAGTGGGGAAGGGGGAAGTTTCCCAGTCCTCCCCTTCTGACCCATTATCTGGGTGAATTTTAGGCCATTCAGGTGACTCATACATGATGCAATCCAGGATTGATGGCAGCCATGAGCCTCGGCTTAAGAACTATGGAGGACATGGAGCCTGGTTAGTTCTAAGACTGTTGTACCATGGATTTAATCATCAGGACCTTCCTAGCACATTCTGGACAATCCCCAACAGGCCACTTCTGATTCTGCTTCCTCTCCCTGGGAAGTTCTCTCTGTAATCCCTTGCCTTAACTTCTAGTCACCTGTCATGTCCCACCACTCCACCTCCCCGGGAAAGCCTCATGTACAGCCACTCTGTTCCTCCTTTCCCAGAGCACTGATCCCCACCTCCACATCAAGACTCCTGTCTGGACTTCTGCTTAGAAGGAAGAGAAAGGGATGGGTGAGCCCCTCTGTGGAAATCGAGTAGCAGAGTGGAGAAAACCATCCTCAGACATTGTGTAATAGGTAATACAGGATAATAAAGGCACTGTCCAGGCTGGAGTGCTGTGAAGAGAGAAGAGCAGGGCAGAGCATGCTCCCTGAGCGTAGGAGTCTTCCAGGAGAGAGCTACAGGAGGAGTAAGTAAAAATTCAACAAATGCTATCCATCTATACCACATCATGGCTTAGCTTTTATCATCACCTAATTAGTGTGATGGGCTCTTTCGTTTAATCTTCTCAAATATACCCACCCCTATATACCCACCTCTAAACACCCATGTCTATATATCAACCTCTAAACACCCATGCCTATATACCAACCTCTATATACCCATTCCTACATAAGCATCCCTCCACTATAAACTCTGAGAGACTGCTATTTTTTTTTTCTCTTACAGTGTCCATAACAACACTCTGCAATGTGATCTTCGCAGAGTACTGCTGGATAAAAGTCTGTGAGTTAATAAAGTTGTATGGAGTTCAAGCGGTGGTGGTGCATGCCTTTAATCCCAACACCCAGGAGGCAGAGGCAGGTGGATCTATGAGTTTGAGACCAGTCTCATGTACACACAGAGTTCCAGGACAGGCTCTGAAGCTACATAGAGAAACCCTGTCTTGAAAAACAAAACAAACTAACAAAGAAACAAAACAACAACAACAAAAAAATGAAACCTAAAAAAACAAAAAAAAAATGATATATGGGAAAATAAACCCAAAGCAATATATTACACACACACATGCATGTGCATATGTGTACATATATATATATATATATATACACTACATGCACATAGTGTTAGTTTTTTCATCTCTCTGGCAAATACCTGAGAGAGCACCTTCACAGGATGAAGGAGTCATTTTGACCCATGGTTTCAGTCCGTGTCTGCTTGTCCCTATTGCTGTGGGCCTGTGGGAAGACAGAGCCTGATATCATCACAGAGAGGGGGCAGTGGGGCTGAAATGCTCACTTCATGGAGGCCAGGATGCAGGGAGAGAGGGAGGGAGGGAGGGAGGGAGGGAGAGAGAGAGAGAGAGAGAGAGAGAGAGAGAGAGAGAGAGAGAGAGAGAATGCCTGTCGTCGTCGTCGTCGTGGGTGGGTTTCATTCTTCTTCCTTTTATTTCAGGGGGTCTTTAGCCTACTGGATGTCATCACCCTTATCAAAAAAAGGTTGTGTCCCTTCAGTTAACTGACTATGAAAATTACCTCACAGACGTGCCCAGATGTGCCCTTTATTGACCTTTTAGGCAGCTCTCAATTTAGTCAGACTGACAATCAAGATCAACCATCAGATATGTATTAAGAACAATTCTTTGTACCAATTAAAGGCCTAAGTAAGCCAGGATTCAAAACAAAACAAAACTATAACCTATGGTCTGAAACCGACACATGGTTTATTTTCCTAAGATTTTTGGGTGCATAGTCATTGTCCAATTGTTTATGAACTGTCAATGCCTGTTCTTATGATATAAGAAAGGGCCGGCTAGTTAGAACAGAACCAAATGGGCAATAAAGGCTTCAGTGTCTAAAACCTTAGCTATTTGGCACTTCATACAAAAGGCTGCCAGCCTCAAATATAATCTCTGGCCATTGCCAACTGCTATGACTATAAAGTATATGCTGTGGATACATGTTGTAGTAGCCCAAGTTAGGATGTCAGCTCTGGTTCTGGTGAGTATTCTCTTGTATGATATTTTGTGTTCTGACAAATAAAGCTTGCCTGGAGATCAGAGGGCAGAGCTAGCCACTAGTTAACCGTAGAGGTCAGGCAGTGGTGGCTTATACCTTTAATCCCAGCACTTGGGAGGAGGAAGCAGGAAGGTTAGGAGTTCAAGGCTACCCTGGACTACACAAGATTGAACCAGTCTAAAAGAGAAACAGAACCGGGCAGCGGTGGTACATGCCTTTGTTCCCAGCACATGGGAAACTCATACCTTTAATCCCAGCACTAGGGAGGTAGAGAGAGGATGTTGGGCCCCCATTCGGTCTGAGGATTTCTAGAGGTAAGAAGTCTCTGGTGGCTGGCTATTCAGTCTGAGGATTTCTAGAGGTAAGAAGTCTCTGGTGGCTGGCTACTCTGCTTTTCTGATCTTTCAGCTTTTGCTGATATCTGACTCCAGGTTTTTGTTAAGACTAATTAGGACTATGTATTCTCTTTTGGTTGCTGACTGCCACCAACTGTATTCTCAAATAGCAGGAGACCAGGGAGTTCTTAGAGTCCTTCTCACGTGGGTGCTAACAAGGACATTACCTTATGGTGATTTGATTTCATACCAAAGGCCCCACTTCTAAATACCGTCATGAGAGGGGTTAGGATTTCAACATATGCATCTAAAGGGAGATATGTATAGTTTATTGCACTAAGACACCCAGCCGCTATTCCTGCACTCCCCGCACAAGTCCTAAATATTATTGTGTAGGCATCCATGTTCTCCTCTCATGCAGGATTTGAATCTTCGACTGTATCAGTTAACGGTATTAAGAGCCTAGAAGTTTAATCTGTGTTGGAGATAGGACCTGTGCAAGTCAACCACCTTAGTTATCAGGGGAGATCATCATCCAATCCTATGGCTTTACAAGACACACGCACAAAATCACACACCTGTCTCTGGCAAATGTGATGTCATGTGCTGCCGCAGGACTCTCTGTATATCAGGGCAAGGCAGAGCATCGAAGAATACGTAGATGGGATAGACAGTGTGGAACTGTATCCCAGTGACCAAGCCAAACACTCTGTCAGTGTGATTCTTGGCTATCTTGAGGGTAACATGCACCTTATTGTACATGAGAAGCCTTACACCAATAAGACAACTGTTTCACGCCTGAGTTAGCATCTTTCCTAATATCCTACCTGATGCACCCTGCTTTACCCAGACCCATTCAGTGTCCAGGAAGAGCCAAGGTACAACTGTTTGCCATGTGGCTATTCCATATCCAAATCCAATGCTATCTTAAAGCATCTCCATGCTACTGAATTCTGCAGTTTTTCAAAACAAGCTAAGCTGTATTAAATGACATGAACTTACCTGCACTATTAAAGTAGTACTGCTGTCCTGGATACCCAACATTGGAGGAAAAAAGGCCTAAATACAAAGGAAACATTTTAATAGCAGTCATAAGGTTTTAACAGCTAATCCTCCAACAATTACACAGTTTGCATTTCTTCCTGAGAAAGCCCAGGGTCACTTTAAATGACTACTCAACAATTGTTAAAAACAAACTTCATTTGTTTGGAGCCAACCTTTTAGGGAACAGCCTCTCTCTCTCTCTCTCTCTCTCTCTCTCTCTCTCTCTCT